CTGATTGTGCATCTGCTTTTCCTTCCCCCACTGATCATTAAATACTAATCACACCAGACCCCCAGTCCCTAATCACATGCTATGTCTTGTTGCTGCCCAGTAGCCTTGGTACTTTCCCCACAATGCTCTACATACACCATGCCAACCTCACTTCCATGGTTTTTCCTGCTTACTGTGACCTGGGCCCTCTTTTCCGGGATTCCAAGCAGTTCCTGCCTACTAGGAAAGCTATTGCAAAAGATGTCCTTTATGGACTCTGAATGAATGTTTGCAAGTTTTCTTTCTATTTTAGTGAGTTTTCCTTTTCGTTCCAATCTCCCTTGTCTCTGAAATCTTAACGGGTGTCCAAGTAGGCAACAGGACCCAGGATGAACTGTCCCATGATAATTTTTAGTGTTTTCAGGTTTATTTTTTCCTATATTAAAAAAAACACTTGATATTTTGCTATTTCAAGCTTAGATTAGCTACTTCCTAAATTGTGTATGTGTGTTTTAAAGATATGTTTTATGTATTCTTTGACAAGTTCATGTATGCAGTGTATCTTGGTTGTGCCTACTCCGCCGGAGGCTCCCAGCCTCATCACTCAAAACCTCCTAAAATTTCTTTGAAGCAAACAGGCACAGTTAAGTATTTTGTCCAAAATAGGTTGTATCTTTTCAAAGCAAAACATACTTTTTTAAATTTCGGAATAATATCAAAAATATTCAATCCTAGTTACAACAGTTATTAACAGATTCCTCTTTTGAGGTTATCTCAGATGTTCTCCTGTTCCAGCCACATTTTATATACACATCTAATATTTGAATTGGTGTCTGCTGACTTGGAAAAAGCAGTGCCATTGGTTGCTTCTTTCTTTATTGCCTCATATCTCCTTGCTGATAAAGTTGGTCCAGAATCCCTCTTAATTCCTTTCCTCTTCTTTTTTTTTTGATGAGTTATGACTTTGAATTAAAGGGTGAGGAGGTGCCCATGTTTGTGTTTGTATGTTTTGCATCACAGAACACAGCGCACCTACTTTCTAGGTTCTAGCAAGACTGAAGCTTCTTTTGCTTGAAACTATTCTCAGAAGATTAAAATACAGGAACGGGAGGTCGCTCAAGTGGTTAAGAGCACTGTCTGCTCTTTCAGAGGACCTTGGTTCAATTTCTAGAAGCCACAAGACTGCTCACAGTTGTCTGTCACTCAGTTCTGGAAGATCTGATGCTCTCTTATGGCCTCCTCAGGCACTGCAGGAATGTGGCATGCAGGCACACATACAGGCAGAACACCTGTCCACATAACTAAACTAAAACATATTTTTGAAAAAAATCTTAGAAACAGAATACAAAAGGGTTACGAAGAATTGAGATCTGGAGTAGTAGGAACTGGTTACTCCCTTTTAGAAATCTTAAGGGCTGGTGAGATGGCTCAGCTGTAGAAGACTGGGCTCACAACCATCTCTTTGTTTTTGTTTTTTTAAGACAGGGTTTCTCTGTAACAACCCTAGCTGTCCTGTAACTAGCTCTTGTAGATCAGGCTGACCTCGAACTCACAGAGGCCTGCCTGCCTCTGCCTCTCAAGTGCTGGAATTAAAGACATTCACCATCACCGCCCATCCCAAAAAGACATCTTAAACAACTTTTTTATTTTAACCTTAGGTCAGTGGTTCTCAATCTGTGGGTCATGACCCCTTTGGGATCCCATATCAGATATTTGCTTTATGATCCATAACATTTGCAAAATTATAGTTATTAAGTAGCAATGAAATAATTTTATATTGAGGCTCACCTCAACATGAGGAACTATATTAAAGAATCACAGTGTTAAGAAGGTTGAGAACCACTGGCTTAGGTAATACCTAATTGAAGTAAACAAAATAGCTTTATGGTATTTTGAATTACTTTGCTCTGTTAGCCTTGACCACTTTTCCATCAGATCATGGTGTGTGTCTGTGTTTGCTTTGCAGAGTCGTGTTAAAGTGGGAGGAAAGCGTAGACCACAGACCCGTGCAGCTAGACGGCTGGCTGCCCAGGAGGCCAGTGAGGACATGAGTGTTCCCAGAGGACCTGTTGCACAGTTAGCCAGTAGTTCCATCTTACCAAATGGCCATCAACCATATCTGCAGCCCCGGATGGCCAGTGGAGAGAGCAGCTCTGAGAAAGCCATGGCCCCAGCTGCTCCACCTTGGGAAAGTGGTCCTACGTTGTCCACAGTGGACAGAAGCTTTTTCGTGACATCTCTGCCTCAGACTGAAAATGAGGCTGACTTGTTTGATTCTGGGGACATCTTTCCAAAGAGCATAGGATCACAGCCCATGGAGGGAACAAAAGTTAAGGCAGCAGAGACTCCAGCCCACTTGTCAGGAGGAAGTACAGAGAAGAGCCTTGTGTTCCCTGAGGACAGCAGTGCCGATGATCTCTTCGAGACCATCAAACCAAGACCAACAAAGAAAAGAAACCCCTTCCCCCTCCTTGAAGATGAGGACAATCTATTTGCAGATCAGAAAGGCAAAAAGAAAGAGTTGAAATCTGACAGTCATCAGGACATCATATCAAAAACACAGGACATTTTTGAGGTAAGAAAATATATCGTGTCTGAGTCTTTAAGGAAAGGAGCTGATTGGCTGCTTCAGCTATAAACTATGCATGTGTTGTGCTTGTGTGCTGTCTACTTGCTTATTAATCATGATTAGGTCTCTTGTTAATAACCCTAAAGGTGGTCCTTGCTGCCTTTAATATTTGTTATGAACCTTGAATTATTTCAAAAATGTTATTGTAGTCCTGGTTATAGAGCTCAAAACCTAGTATATGTTAGGCAAATGCTTTATGGTTCACTAAGCCAGAGCATAATCCCTGGGTCCTGATTTTTATGTATAGAGAGTGTGTGTGTGTGTGTGTGTGTGTGTGTGTGTGTGTACATGTTTTTAATTATTTTTTTGCTGTTTTTTAAATTTTTGTAGAATGGTGCTGCTGTCAGCTTTATGACATGTCCTTCTGTGACATATATGAACTCCACTGGTGCAGCTTGTGTGTTTAAACTCTGGTTCTGGTTGGGACTCTGTTTCAGCAGAGTTTTGATGCTAAGGCTTTTGTGGAAGTTGTTCAGATGTTTATTGAGCATGGTGGCCCTGGGGCCAGCAGGAGAGCTAGGGCATGTGTTCTTTCCCCTGAAATTTCAAGGAGAGGAGTGAGATCCAAACAGATCAGCAGGTCCTCAAAGTGATCTCAAGTGTTACTAAATGCCATGAAGAAAACTATCTGGGGCCGAGGACAGCCACAGTGGGAGGTGGCTACATGCCTCACTGCAGAACTGGCACCTGAACTGTGACTAGAAGAACAATGGGGACAAGTTGTGCAGAGACCCGGGTAGTGTCTTCCAGCCCAGGGAGTCTGTGCTTGGTCACTACATGTCTAAATTATTGAACTATTTTTAGTTTTAAAAATGCTTTTATTTACAAAATTTGTTTTGGGGCTTAACTAGGATGATATATTTGCTACGGAAGCAGTTAAACCTTTTCCAAAAAAGAGAGAGAAGGAGAGAACTTTGGAACCCAACTTGTTTGATGATAATATTGATATCTTTGCTGACTTAACTGTAAAACCTAAGGAAAAGTCAAAAAAGAAAGTGGAAGCCAAGTCTGTGTTTGATGATGATACAGGTGAGTATGGGTCTCTTGCCCCTCCCGTAAGTCTGGCTATCCTCAGTAGAGCATCACTGCCCACTGACTGCATTTCCTGTGGTTCACCTTGGCTCTTTCTTGGACTTCGTTTCTCAGTAGGTTTTCTTTTCTTTGCTGTGGAATCCTGGTTAGTCTAAGAATGTGATGTGTTGATAGACTAACCATTTTCATGAGGCATCCTTGTGCTATGCTGAGGTTTAAGATTGTGCCCAGCATTTGACCTCAAAGTGGAAGCTAGCTTTTATCTTAGTGCTCACCGCCATCACCTGCCAAGCACTGTTTGTGAAAAGAAAATCCATCAGAACCTTCTTTCACATGCTATCTGCAGGCCATGAAGTTGGTTGAGTCAGAATAGCAGCTGGACAGTGAGGGTCAGCAGCTGAAGAACTGCAGTGGAGCAGGCGTGTGCAGTGGAGTCACACGTGTGAGACATGGTCAGTGCAAGAGAGCAGGCCTGTGCATGTGAGACATGGCGTCTCCCTGAATTCTGTGTGTGTGTGAACACGCTGCACCCACTCACTCCTCACTGAACAGGCAAGCCAAATGCTGATAACTATAAATGATGGGCTCCTGGTGGATCCTGTGTTGGTAGACATGGACTGGAGCCATATCAGCACATAGAAATCTCCTTTGGTTTCAGTGTTTAAGACTGCTTTGTATTTAGCTGTTAGCTTATTAAGGACAATCTAGATCTGTTATAGATAATGCCATAGATTTTATCATTTTTGTACACCCGTCTTTATTATACACGCTGAAATTTTGAAGTGGTAGAATCTGACCAATAACATAGTTAAAAGTCTGAAACACTAACATGAAGATTCAGACCTCATTCTTACTGTTGAGACGTGCCACAGATTGACTCCTAGATTCCGAGAGTGCATTCTGTATTGTCTTTCTCTTTGTACATTCTCACTGTCCTTAAAAGCCAGAGTGGCTTTCCAGAAGATAGAAATCAGTTCAGTGTCCGTTTCTCACTTCATGTGCACATACACACTTTTTTATTTTATTTTTTTTATTAGAAATTTCTGCCTCCTCCTCGCCTCCCATTTCCCTCCCCCTCCCCGCCACTCCCCTTTCACTCCCTCTCCAGCCCAAAGAGCAGTCAGGGTTCCCTGCCCTGTGGGAAGTCCAAGGTCCTCCCCAGGAAGGTGAGAATCCAAACAGACTAGGCTCCCACAAAGCCAGTACATGCAGTAGGATCAAAACCCAGTGCCATTGTCCTTGGCTTCTCAGTCAGCCCTCATTGTCCGCCACGTTCAGAGAATCCGGTTTTATCCCATGCTTTTTCAGTCACAGTCCAGCTGGCCTTGGTGAGCTCCCATTAGATCAGCCCCACATTCTCAGTGGGTGGACGCACCCCTTGCGGTCCTGACTTCCTTGCTCATGTTCTCCCTCCTTTTGCTCTTCATTTGGACCTTGGGAGCTCAGTCCTGTGCTCCAATGTCTCTATCTCCATCCATCGCCAGATGAAGGTTCTATGGTGATATTCAAGATATTCATCAGTATGGCTGTAGGATCGGGCCATTTCAGGCTCCCTCTCCTCACCTTCCCAAGGAACTAGCTGGAGACATCTCCATGGACACCTGGGAACCCCCCTAGAGTCAAGTCTATTGCCAACCCTAAAATGGCTCCCTTAATTAAGATATATACTTCCCTGCTCCCATATCCACCCTTCCTCCATCCCAACCATCCCATTCCCCCAAGCTTTCAAGAAACTAGACTTTAAAATGCTAATTAACCCAATTTAAAAATTGGGGCACTAAACTGAACAGAGAATTCTCAACAGAGGTTCAAATGACCAAAAAACACTTAAGGTCATGCTCAACCTCCTTAGCGATCAGGGAAATGCAAACCAAAACAACTTTGAGATACCATCTTAAACCTGTCAGAATGGCTAAAATCAAAAACACCAATGATAGCCTTTGCTGGAGAGGTTGTGGAGAAAAGGGTACACTCATCCATTGCTGGTGAGAATGCAAACTTGTGCAACCACTTTGGAAATCAGTGTGGCGGTTTCTCAGGAAATTCAGGATCAACCTACCCCAGGACCCAGCAATACCACTCTTGGGAATATACCCAAGAGATGCCCTATCATACTACAAAAGCATTTGTTCAACTATGTTCATAGCAGCATTATTTGTAATAGCCAGAATCTGGAAACAGCCTAGATGCCCTTCAATGGAAGAATGGATGAAGAAAATGTGGAATATATACATATTAGAGTTCTACTCAGCGGTAAACACAATGACATACACACTTTTGTAGCTGAGAAATTTATACTAAAAAACAACCTGTTGTTTATGTATCATTATAAAACTTGGGTGCCAACAACTGAGCCAGGACCAGAACCTAAGAGGTTTCACTTTTGTATTGGTACTCAATAGTGTGTTATCAGAATTGGGTCTTTGGCAGTTTGTGTAGATGTGTCTCAAATTACCATTTTCTTGCCTGTCTTAACTTTTTTTCTTTTTTCTTTTTAAAGATGATATTTTCTCATCTGGTCTCCAGGCTAAGAAGTCCAAACCCAAAAGCCAGTCTGCAGAGGGTACATCTGACCTAAGATCTGATCATAAAGTGTCCAACATTTTTGATGACCCCTTGAATGCCTTTGGAAGCCAGTAGAGCCTTTGGGGTCTTCACACTTCACTCCCCCATTCTATTTTCAGCTAGCGATGCCATCTCCTACACTCACTGCTGTCACTGGATTCCAAAAGCAAATACTGAAACAACTAGTTCAGCTTTTCCCAATATAACTAATATTTTCTGCACTGATTTTAATTATGCTTAAGGTTACAAATAAAAAATATATGCTTCACAGTGGTTTGTTTTTACTTAATTATACTGCATAGAAGGGCATGCTAGAGAGGAGCTCTCTGTGGTTTTCATATGTGGGTAGGGAATGTAGAGACAGCTGATGTCAGGCAGAAGACCTGAAGTCCTTGTGCTGTGTGGGAAGGGCTCTGAGTGCAGTGATGGTCTAGGCAGGTGAAAGAGAAAGGAGGTAAAAGGCTATGCATTTATGGTTCTACACCTGTGAGGAGAGGTTCCATGGAATCCCAGATGTTCCTCGGCAATCATCTAAGGGACTGTGTCTTCTGCTGTCTTGTTTTTGAAGAGAAAGTCTTTGGCTCACAGTCACACTCATCATTGCCACATTATCAGTGGTTGCATTCGGGCTACCCACAGTGCCAGAGTTGAGTGGGCTGCAAGAGATGGATGGTTTAGTTGTGGGCAAATTTTTGCCTTTCTTAGCATTTCTTTCCTCCTTTGTAAATGGTTTTAGTACTAAGCATGCAGGGTTGTATTTTGGAGAATAGGTAAAGACCCTTTTATCTATCTGCCTCGTAAAATGGTAGGTGATGACCGTGATTTGGTTCGATGAGGTAATGCAGCTTTAAAGTGGAAGCCAAACACCTGAACTCCTCCACCGGATGCACAAGCCCATGCTGACTTACTTGTAGTCAAGATTTCCAAGACAGGCACTCTCTAACCTCTGTACATTACCACTGTGGCGCTGTCAGCCTTAATCATGGGCACAGTTGAAGAGCCACGGGCAAGAGATGGCAAAAGGCCAGGGCCTCACATACCTTCCACCTCAGTGGAACTGTGGAAACTGGTGGGTAAAATCCCAAGTCTCAGAGAGCCAGAGCCTGGGGGAAGACTGGTTAGGATTCATTCATAACTAGTCACAAGTCGGCTATTAGAGGTGTCATTGTCCTCTTCTGCAGTCCACCTAGGAAAACACCACACCTGAGCCGAACCACCCGTGGAGATGAAGCAGTAGGGGCCCCATCTAGGTGGAAGGTATGCGTTGTCTTCAAGCCAGCCGGTCTATATCCCAGTTTAGCCGATTGGTGAGAACAAAAGCATGCTGGGATTTCGAGCCCAAGGTGTCACCTGTTTGATCTGTGGTCTTTATTAATTACTCAAATGCAAGAGGCATACAGAAAGGCACAAGCCCTTATAAGCAAGTCATTACAGACGATACAATTGAGTCAGAAATGTTGGGAAAGTGTGGAGAACCAAAAGGGTATGTGTTTAAGTCAGTCTAGCCTGGACGTCCTTTAAGTGCTCCAGACTCTGGAAAGGTCATGTGTGGACAGCAAATACCAGGAACCCTTCTGTCCCCAGAGAACCTTAGATGTACCCCATCCGAGGCGCTCGGCCCTGACGCCCGTTCTTGCCCATAGACTGTGGCCTCTCTCCAGCCTCCTACCTTGCCCCAACCTGATCCCACGTCAGTAATAAAGGGTCAACATCCGGGCCTCTTCTAACCGACAACCCTTCCTGAACGCCAGTGCGACCCTGGCGTCCGAGCAACGGCCGGCCTCGGACGGCTCGGCCCCGCCTCTCGCAGGCTGATTGGAGGACGCTGGCAGCGCTGGCCGGCGATTGGTGAGCGGTGTCACAAAGGGCGGGGCCTGAGCTCTGCCGGTCCGCGTCGGAGGGCGTCGCGGGCGCGCTCAACCCTAGCGGCCTGCGGGCAGGCGAGCGAGCGAGCGGGAGGACGGGACCACCGGAGGGCGAGCGGGTGAGGGGCGCGGCGGGGCGGGGCGGGGCGCGGCCGGGCGGGCGGCTGAGGGGCCCGCTGCTCCTTCGCGGCCCGGGCGGGCGGGAGAGGTGCGCCCGCCTCGGCTGCAGCCTGGTCGCGCCCTCCGCGCTTCTCTGCTCGGGACTCACGGGACCCGGACAGCCGTCGCCCTGGGTACAAACTGGTCGCACCCGCGGCTCCGGGCGCTGCTGACCCGACTTTGGGTTTGAGTGTGATCCCTGCGGGTCGTGGTCCCTGGCCTCAGGGCAGCACAGCTGCACTAGGGCATCAGTCCCAGGCTAGAGTGTGTGTGATTCCACTCTGTAGCTCGATTTTCACACATCTGTAAATATGTAAGTGTCAGCATTTTAAATGGCTGCCTCGTATTGTGGGTAATATGTTGGGCGAAAAATTTAAAAGCTAACTCGTCGTGTGGCTAAGTTTCTGTGGACGAGAAGGAAGCAAAAGTCCAAGGTACTGAAATTCCTTATTGCGTGCCCCCATTGCTGCTTTTGTAGTTGTGTTTTTAGAAAATTTCAAACCATGAAAGAACTGTTGGAGAGTCATTTTGAATGTTTTTCTCTGAGTTTTTAAGCTAATTTATCAATATTTAGCATCATTTTATTATATCACTTCATATCAGTATGAGTTGTCATTGGCCATTGGTTTTCCAGTGCTCAGTCATGCAGGCCACATGCCACCTTGGGGGGCTTGCAGCCCTTCTCAGTGGACCCAGTTTTAGTACCGACTAGGTCGTTAGCCCACTTGAGTTTCCATTTGTCCCTGTAGTATTCTACTCAGATTTAGACAGACTGCATAGCCTCCTTCTGCCCTCTGTTACATTGATTTCCGTTCCGAGAAGTCTAACTTTTCCATACACAATTGTTTTCAGCTATGGTTACCGCCCTCGGTCCTTTTCATGTCTAGAAAGTTATCCCACTAACAGGGTCCAAACTTCATTTGGAGGTTCCAGCAGCATTGATGGGGTACTTATTATGGCACTAATTTCCTTCTGCTCGTAGGCCCTTGATCTAGTCGTATTTCAGATTCAGGTCTTCCACATGTGTGACCTTCTGCAAACTCCCCCCCCCCCCCAGTTTGTTTATTACTGCAGGGATCAAGTATAAGAAGCACTGTGAAGGGAATGCCCCTATTCTTCTGCACCTTTAAGTTCTCCTCCTAGATACTGGTCACCTGTGCCTTCTGTCATGTTCACCTCAGCGTTTTTAACATGACTTCTATCTCTAGACTGCCTATTTGTAGGTAGGTTTGCTTGTTGGCCTTGAAGAAGCAAACACTCGTACTTCTGTAGCACACATGCTCTTTGGTCTAATGTGATGAGTACATTAAGAACGTCTGCATGCTATCAATGGGTATTTCACGATTATGCTATTTTTGTTTTGTTTTGTTTTGTGAAAATGCAGATTGAGCCCAGGGTCTAATATGAGCTAGGAAAGTACTCTATCACTAAGTTGCTCATTTACTATAAATGATGTAAGACAATGAAACCCAAACAGCCCCACTGTAGAGTCGCGTGCTCTTGCCACCGTGACCAGCAGCACTAGTAGCACAGTAGTATTTGTATTACTACTGTTACTTATCATTTCGATAAGTTGTATAGCTCCACTCAGAACACTTAGGCTGTCAGCAACAACTTTTCTTCCTGTGATGCCATTTTAAAGGAACATTCGCTATCTGCACGATTCAAGTTTCCTAATAATATTTTATATTAGAACTATGAAAACATCCACTACAGCAGAAATACTTGAGTGTACATGTTTGTCACGATTTATATAAATTCTGTGGAGTGAATTGGAATGAGATTCCCAGAAGAAACCAGTATTCCTCCGAACAGTTTTGGAGCATAACCACTATTTCTTCATTTTTATGACATGATAATACCCTTACATATATCATTTATTTTGTCTGATATAAAGACCAGTGGAGGTGAATTGTTTTTAGTTGAATTTCATTGAACAACCTTTAATGGGCGCTAATGTGTGCAGGATACTGTACTGAGTGATAGAGAGGTCATTCTTCCTTAAATGCTTGTAGTTTACCAGCACAAGAATGAGAGGCATGGAAGAGTACAGTTTTGATGGGTGTCATTTATGACATAGGTACAAAAGATGGTAAGTATAAGAGATTTCATGGGATAGTTGATACTTGGAATGAGGCTTTTGGGGAGAGGTACAGTGCTGGTTATTATTAGCTCAGGGCTTTGAGTGGTAGGCAGGTGCTCTCCTTGGGGTCGCTCCAGTCCTTGGAATTGTAGGCAGGCACTCTCCTTGAGGTCTCTCCAGTCCTTAGAGCTGAGTTTTGAGAGATGCTTAGGTGCTTCTTAGGAAGCCATGTGTGGAGTTGACACTGAGTAGGACAGAGCAGGAACAATAATATAGGGGCTACAACTCAAAGGTAGATATACTACAACTCAAAAGAACCGTGTGTGTGTGTGTGTGTGTGTGTGTGTGTGTGTGTGTGTGTAAGTGAAAATGGGCTGGGAGATGAAAGTGTAAGTTGAAGGTCTTTCTAAGGAGTTTGAAAGTTCCTGCACAGACAACGGAGGCCTTGCTGGGCCTTGAGCTAGAGATAATAGAAATAGTCTGCATCTTCGAAAGACAACTGTGCTCACATGTTATTACGGAACTTCCAGTTGAAGTCAAACCCGGAACACTGACTGTGCAAAACGATGTGATGACACGGAGGTTAGGGACCTTTCCATGGTGCTGGAAATGCAGAATGATTTAGCTACTTTTGCATATTGTTTGGCAGTTTCTTGAAAAGAAAACCAAATACAATGGGGCTGGGGGTGTAGCTGAAACGTTGAAAGTAAAATGCTAACTGTAGAAGCCTGAGGGTCTTAGTTTGGATTCCGAGTACCTGGGTGAAAAGCTGGGCACAGCAATGTGTACCTATGATCCCAGACCTGGGGTGTGGAGACAGTGAGGAGCCCCCGGACTTGCCAGTCACCCAGTCAAGCTGAATTGATGAACATCAGGATCAATGATGCCTTAAAAACATAAAGTAGGAGATGATAAGAAAGATATGTGATGTTGACTGCTGGCCTCCACATGCCCACAATGTTCACACATGCACACAGTGTACACACATATACACACATGCACACAGTGTACACACATATATACACATGCACACAATGTATGCACATACACAGTGTATACACAAGCACATATACACATGCACACAATGTACACACATGCATATATACAATATACACACATGCACACAGTGTACACATATACATATATATACAATATACACACAAAAGTGGAAAATATTCTTATAATAAAATCTAGCCTAAATAAGTTTAAAATATGTATGTACAAAATCTATAGCAAGTTTGTTCAAAATTGCCAAGAATAGAGTATGTAAGATATTTCTCAGTAGGAAAATGGATAAATTAAACTCATCCAGACAATAGAATATAGCTTAGCACTTAAAGGAAACAATCCATTGCGCAAAAGAGTCTTAAATGTGTGTTCCTTACGGAGACTGCTCTGAGAAGTCTGTGTATTGTGTGATTCCAAGTGCATGGCATTCTGGAAAGGGCAAAGCTATGGAAACATTAAAAAGACCAAAAATTTCCAAGAATTCAAGGCATGGGAAGGGATCCATAGCCCAAAACAGAACTTTTAGAATGCTTAAACTCCCCTGATGCTGTCCTAGTAAATACATGATTCATACATCTGTCCACACCTGTAAGACAGATGTGCATCACCAAGAGCAAACTCTAATGTAAACTGATGTGTCAGTGCCTCAGCTCTTAGTAATGTACTGTGTTAGTGCAGAATATAGGCCAGCTGAAGGTGGGGAGAGAACACATGCGTGTGGGGATTCATCAGAGTTTCTGCTCAGTTTTGTGGTGGATCTGAAACTGCTAAAAGTAAATCTCCTTTCATAAGGGAGAAAATTCATGTCTTTAGGCAATACAACAGAAAAACCAAGAAAACCAAAATACCACCCAAAAAGAAAAAACAAAAACAAAAAATACCCCACAACTCTAACCAAATAAAAGCACACATACAAAAAACTGGCATCCATTATATGTTGGTCAACTACTTCTGAACACGAGGACTGCCCTGGAATGGCAGGGCACTCTGCTAACAGTTCAGTCATTAACCTTTGCTCTGTGTGCACAGGGACCAGCCTTCTACAGGGCAGAGAGACTGAGAATGAGATGCAGACTCAGCAAGAAAAAATACGAAGACTTCTTTTTCTGAGGGATAAAAGTGTCTCTTCTTTGTTATTTTTTCTATTTTTGTTCTACTCCAGTCTCTATTTGTTCCGTTCTTCTACCCTTTTGTTTCCCTTCCGCTTTCCCGATGTCCTCCTTCTACGTCTTCCTTCCGCTTTCCCGATGTCCTCCTTCTACGTCTTCCTTCTGGTTTCCCGATGTCCTCCTTCTCCATCTTCCTTCTGGTTTCCCGATGTCCTCCTTCTCCATCTTCCTTCTGGTTTCCCAATGTCCTCCTTCTATACCTTCCCTTCTGCTTTCCTGATGTCCTCCTTTGATGGGCGTAGTTGACCGTTAAGCTAGAATTAACCAGACAAGCTCAATACAACAGATCTAGTTTAATAATTGGAAAACAGGGAAAACTCACACAACCGGGGTCCAGCGAATACCTCTTGCAGCAGAGAGGCAAAAAAGGGGAGGGCACCTGGATTCCCAGGTCCTTCTTCCCTGGCCCCAGGCGGCCACACCCTAGCCAAATGTGATTGGCTGACCTTCCCCATCATCTCCCCCTTTTATCTAAACAA